AAAGATAATATAGTTTTATAACCTTCTTGGATGTGGTAGAGTTGGTCCCCGTAGATCAGAGTGAATTAACTCTAAAGAGTTGATGCTTTGGAAGAAGATGCAGGAAAATACATTGTGAAGTTTTCCATACTGACAAGCCTCACAAAAAAAACTGGTATTGCATTGCAACTGTTGTTTTACACAATTTGTCTAGCACAACACGAAGAGTTTGACTATTGTGGTGTCCTAACCTTGCATGCCATAGCAAAAGTAAGTCTACATTGAGATTTATTTAATTTTGAACAATATAACAGCATCAGTAGAGCTAAGAACCTTATTATTGATCAAAGACATCTCACTATTATCAGACTTGAAAAGAAACTGCACCAACTTTATTCAATTCTTAGCAGCTATACATACACCAGATTTATTTAATTTTGCAGCAGTATAAATGCACCATAGAGCTAAGAACATGATATTTGATTCAGAGACACTCTCACTATTATCAGTACTTGCCACAGAAACTGTAGCAACTTTATTCAATTCTTCAGCAGCATTACATACACAGTAGATTGATAACCAGCAGTAGACTGATAACTAGCCACTTGAATCTGGAGCAACTTTATTATTATCAACACTTGAAAAAGAATTAGCTTCTGATGAGGACAAAAACGCAGTAGCAGTAGAACCAGTGAATTGTGGAGTGGAGGTGACAGCATGAGAAAGTTCAAGTTGATACAGCATCCTTAACAGTGCCATGAAGCAATATCGCTCACTACTTTTGTCCTTTACCAAACAACATCGGCATGAAATTCCACAATAACATTATGTCTCTAGTTATTTGTGAAATGCTTAGCAAATTCTTTGCAATTTTGGGAAACACATAGAATGTCTCTAAGATGAATCAATCTATGAGCATCAAAAGAGGGAATCAATAACTACCTATTGTGTAATTGGAATAGCTTCCCCTTTACCACTTGCACTTGGAATTTCCAGGATAATTAGACTTAACCATCAAGTTGGATCCATTAGCTACCATGGATTGGAAGCTCCAGAGTCCATATACTAAGATTGATCACAGAGTGTCTGTGGAGTAGCTGTAGGTTACAGATGAGAAGCTGAACCAGAGAAAATATCTTTGAACTTTTGCGGTGGCAGATTACTAGAGGCATCAAGGTTGATGTTATGATAAGTAGGTACAACCGAGGATTGATTTCCTGCAGTTGATGGACAGAAACCAGTGAGAATTGTGTTGTATTGGTGGACCTCCAGACGAGATTGATCATGAAACAAACCAAAGAAGGAAGAGTTCTGCACTTGTGGATATTGAATGTGTAACCAGGAAAGTTAACGATTGATGCATTTGCAAACAAAGCCTGAGCGGAGCATTTAACCTTCATTAGAGACATTCGAAGGAGGAAGATGAAGTGTAGCCAATTGTTGTGGTTGAGAACCTAGTTTGGACCAACAAATCCCTATACCTTGATCAAACCGGTGATAGCATTGTATGGCAAAGTGTCCTGTTTTCCCACACACTTGACACACTAATTTTGGTTAAAAATCCTCTACTCTACCTTTTCCCCTCATTGGATTGTTATTCAGCTGAGCACCTCCAATAAAGACTGTTGTGCATGAGGGAAGTGGTAAGGTCTACCAAAAACTTGGTGGTTATGAGGACTGTTATTCCCAAACTCAACACTGTCCTGTAAATAACTCGGTGCTCCTACTGTAGTGCTATTATTAGTACCAGACTGATAACTATAGCCATATTTGAGGATAGTTGGATAGCGTGGCTTATGTTCAGATACAGGTGCAAGTGAGTTATTGGATTCCTGTCTAGAAGCAAATAAAGCAGATGTCATTTGTTCATGAAAATTGGTCAAACTTATGTTGTCGTTCCAGTCTTATCTCATGCTATGAAGCATAAATTGAGCCTCCTGAATACTTACTGTACTACTATGTAAGTAAGTTAACAACCACTGTATCATACTGGACCAAGACCTCTAGAAATACAACAAAGCTCCTCATCACTAAGATTAACACCACTAGATACCAGCTATCTCCTAACTCTTTCATTTTCAAGACATACTCGTTGATGCTAGATGAATCTTTCTTAGTAGTTTGTAACAGGTTTCTTAGATGTAGAGTCCTAGCCTTTGAAATAGATTGAAAATGAACTCCAAGGTGTTCCAAATTTCATAAGAGCTACACAATTTTGCTACATGTCTGAACATAGCTTCAGATATTGACGAAAACAACCAGCTACCAAACATTGATCATTTCTTTCCAATTAAAATACTAAGAGTTTGGCCCTTTTATAATATCTTCAGAATTATCAAACTTTTCAATAACAAGCATAGGTGGACAAATTTCTCACCAGTTATAAATCCATCAAGATCATGAGATGCAAGTGCTGGAAGAATTTGAGAACACCAAGACGTAATTCTTTCTCCAAGCTTTACTGAAACCGTAGGAAGCGATGGCTGTATACTGGAATTGACTCCAATTCCAGCACATGTTTGTTCTATCTCTGATTTTGAAGTGAAATTAGAGGATTCAGAATCGATGAGCCATTGACGTTTGTCTATAGTCTATACCATAAAGTTTTTAATCAAGCAAACAAGAAAGATCTGGAAAGAAAACAAGAAATAAACCAGAGAAAAAATGCGGGTTAACGATTCACAAAACACATGAATGTATATTATGTTTTTGTTAATTTGTTACAGAGGAGAACGATGACATATAACATATATTGTTATATTACACAAATCTAAAACGTCATCGTTCTTATTATCCTTTTCTTTGTTTTACAAACACAACCCTTTACATTTCCACATTACAAACTCAACCTGTGTACATCATATCAGTATATTGAACTTCAAAAGCTTCTTCTATACTAAAATTTATATGCATTATGATGCATAAGCTTACTGATATAGGCTTTTTGCATCTTTTGTTTGTAATAAGAGTCCTCATGTTGCTAAGAGAGGGGCACTGTCTTGTGTGGGAAAGCTCTATGGAGCTTTATTGGGTGAGTAATGGAGTCATTAGATTTGTTCTTGTAGTTGAAAGTTTGTTTAAAGAACTCTGAGCAGCCTCGTAATTCTTATTTCTTTGTTATTGGATAAAAAAAATAGATTTCATCATACTTTAGAAGTAATTATAAATTTATACTGTTCGAATTACAACTAAATTGTTATATATATATCTTCTTGCTGTTTGATTGAATCATTGGTTTAATGTTTCTTCTTTAGAATTTTTTTTTTTTTTTTTTTTCGTTATAAAGGTGTTGGGCCAACTTACGCGCACTTTGACTAGTCCTCGACCCCGAACAAGACTTTTGAAACAGGGCAAGCCCTGCAGTCTGTGGCCAATAATATTAGCAACCGTTCTTGTGATCGAACCTGAGGCCACGGAGGAGCAAACCCCTTGGCCCCAAACCTTTACCATCAACTAACCCATTGTTGGTTTTCTTTTAAGAAATTCTTTCCTGAGTTAATTGTAACCTAATTCTGCTTTAGTAGTGTCTACAGTGATGTGCTCTACAATTATTGCATAAATTAAAACGAGGAGCCTCTTTTCTTCAAAAGAATATTATCACATTCCGAAATTCCAGTTACTATTGAAGGAAATGTGTGTAGAAGTTTAAGTTGAATCAATGGTGAGTTATTGTTCTAATGGTTTGCTATTCAGTTTAATATACTTTATAATGTTTGAAGCATTTATTTGTTTGGTAACTCATTTGATAGGAGCTCGAGAAAATAATGCAGCAAGTTAGCATAACAACAAGACTAGCACTCGATTATACCTTTAGAATCAATAAACAAGTCTCAATCACAGAAACTTGGATCATAAAGTTTGAAGTAAAATCTGAATAATTATTGAATATCATAAAAAGAATGAATAATATGTTTGCGTAGGGTGGTGAGAGCCAACCTTAACAAGACTTCCAATAAACAAGGAAATAAAATCCAAATTAATTAAAAAATGACGTCTTAAAGAAAATAGGAAAAAACATGCAAAAAACTTAAACGGTCCTAAAACAAGCCGAAACAGTGGATTTTGGGCTCGAAAACATCCCCAAATAGAGAACCGAGTTGCCATGTTGTTAGGCTCGAAACAAGCTTTCCATTGATATATTATGGGCCCTATAACTCCTAAATAAAAAATTCTAGCCATTTTAAGTTGGTCTGTCTGTGTTTGAGTTTCTGACGCTCAACCCTCCTTAAAAATTCATCTACTAAACGTTCTACCTCATAATGAGTAATATGTCTTCTACATTTTCCAAGAAGTTTAAGTTGATTAAACTTTTCTTAGCATTGCCTATATTGATTGCTTCTACTTTGAATTTAAGCTCAATTGTAACCCATGTTCGTCTTCTAACATGCTCTTTGATGTATTAAAATTTTGTGCTAGAGATAATTGCTTTGAAGTTAGTTACACATTTATATATTCCCATTTTCCAAAATTGTTGGCTATTTTTATATGATTTACAGTACTTCCTTTAAGCTTATATAGATATATATGATTTTATTTGGTTTCTGTTTTTAGTGAGAGAATGCATATTGTGTTTGTGCAAAGAAGAGAAAGGCTGTCCGCTTGTGTGGGAAGCTGTTCAGGGTTTGAGTGGTGCTTGAGTTCGAGGTTATTTTTGCTTTTGTGATTAAGCATCTAAATTGGTGTTTAAGCTGTCTGGGCAAAATACCCTTCTATTCATGAAAACAGAAAAGGGAGTTCATCGTATTTCATTCCGGTTAGCATAATTAGCATGATTCCGAAGGATATTTGAATTTAGCAAAAGTCTAGTGGCAATAATCTACAAGGAAACTCTTCTGTTACCACTTTAACTTAAATATTAAAGAGTCCCTTCAGCAGTACATCCCTAGTGGTTCTTCACCGGAGTTCAAGTAGTGCAAGGATCAGCAAAACCAATTGTATTTCGGGAGAAGTTTAATAAAATGCAATCGTTGCTATTTGGTTAACAGCAAGTTTAATTTTGCAACTATTTTGCATGCAAAAGGTTGAAGGAAAGCAAATCAAGATCTGAACCACCCAATATTACTCTTTTATTCTTACAAGCATAATTCCAAACTATTGATACACTCAAAGTTGAGTGCAATTAATTTTTGCTACACAACTTTTAATTCTTTAAGCCAAGCCGTATGCAGGGGTCACGGATCAGGTTTTCCTGCAGCAAGTGCCTTCTCGGTGAGAGAATAGAACCAGCCATTCCTCCATTTGAACTGTAAGAATTGAACAGACTTAACTGTGAATCGAAGGTCACAAAAATTAGGGGTACTTAAATTCATGTTCTCATGGCATTCTTTACCTCTTTAACTGCAGTTGGGAAGTGTGCAACAGCTCGTGAATATGCACATAATCTATCCTCCATAGCTTCTTCAAATGTTAGTCCTTTCTCGGCAGCAGCTGCAGATGCTAGTTCCACAATGAGGCTACAAACCTGAAAGCACAAACTTTGATCAGTTGATCTAATCTCAAAGGTTATAATAAACTAATTCCCAAGAACTTATGAACATGTCATAGTTGCAATCACATTATATGTTTGTAAATATAACGAACTGTAATATAAATTACATAGTATAAATACGTCTTGTCAACCCAAGTTGTACTATAATTTCGCACAGACTGAAAATACTCAATCTAAATCCTTCAATTACAAAATCAGAGAAAAAAACTTATCTTCTCCTTTTTTTTATTCTCTTATTTTTTATTTGTAAATGTCAATATATATATACATGTACAATTACCTTGCAGTTACGAAAATAAGTGCAGTGAGTGTGTGATCACTATTTGGCAGTTACCACTACATATATTGTATAATGGATGAATCCCATCATGAGTGTCCCACCCGTATCCAATATCTCTCACTCACACATTATGAGTCTATCTCTTTCTGTGTTTCTACAAAATTCATTCTTTGTAAATAGTGACATGCATACCTCGAGAGCACTTTGGCTATATATCTGTTAAGAATATACAGCCTCTCGAATAACGCAACTTGGGTTGTATATCGTATGCGGCACCCTAGATCACTTATCACATTTTCTCTCTAACGATCTCATTTATATAGTTAAACTTTATTGTATTCATAACTATGTTTTGTCTTTACATAAAAGAAAAATATAATTAGTCAACCAATAAATACACAAAGTAGTAATGTGATAATACAAAAAATTGTGATCTTCCTCCTTTCTCGATTCTCGCAACTTTCATTTAATTTGTTGTTCCAAAAATGTTCCAATAGATTAAATCATTCTTAATCATTTGGTAACATTCTAAGATAGCAATCATTAAATCAAGGCTTTGAGAAACAGACTAGAGTAACAAGGGTACTCTTTGAGATTTGATTCTTATAATCTCAAGATCTCACACAATGTTAAAGTTGAGATCTTTATTTTCATTACCCTCATTGTCAAACTTTTGCACATGTGGTATGAATCATATGTTACGGCATTTTCTCCTTTTCCATGGAGTGCATGTCTTTTTCCTTCTTATCAACGCCATACAAATTTTAGTCAAACATACCTAGTGTCTAACTTGAGTTCACCTTCATACTTTTCAATTCACCAGAACTCTAATATGACGATAAGACAGATAAAATAATAAATTTTGATAATTTATATGCTCTCAATGTATGCATGGTCATACGACACATTTACAAAGTATGAATCTTGTAAAAACGCATAAAAAGATGGTCCCATCATGTGTGAGTGGAAGATATTGGATATTGGTGAGACACCAATGATGGGACCCACCCATTATACAACAAGCAGTTACCACACACTCACATGCAGTTTACCTTGGTAACTGAAAGGTAATTGCACATGTATATATATATATTGACATTTGCAAATGAAAAATAAGAGAGGATAAAAAGAAAAATGAGAAGATCAATTTTTTCTCTAGTTTTGCAATTTAAGGATTTGGATTGATATTTTCAGTTTATACGAAATTATAGTATAACTTGGATTTACAAGAGGTATTTATGCTGTGTAATTTATTTTATAGTTCGTTATACTGTATTTACATACATATAGTGTGATTACAATTATGACATGTTCATAAGTTCTTAGGAATTAGTTTATTATAATCTTCGTGATTACATGTTGTTTTTCTAACATTCCTATTAGCTAAATATCCCAATCTGAACTCCAAACAGTAGAAAATCATTCTTCTTAGTACCACCGAATGCAAACACACAAAGCTAATTGATAATGGATATTCAAAATCTGTGCTACCCAAGACTTAACCAATTAATATTCTTATAAGGTATGTCTGTCCAGTAAGCAAACTTAAATTTCATTAGCCCATGTCTAATGTTGATCAGTTAATACTCCATGATAACCACGAATCGTCCTCATGCTTTCTGAAAAATTAAATAAAACAGAAAGATCAAGATTTTAAGCAGTCCTAATATTATATCTTTTGCCATCCTTTCACATCATATTCCAATGTTACCATTAAACTAACAAATCATTGTTCAACAACAGCAATAGGAAACAAGTAAAAAATAAAAAGGCAGTCTTTGCATTCAATTTCTGTAACACTTGGATGATATGGTAATGAAGATGAAATTGGACAGAAGGTACTAAGTAGGCTTGGCAAAAACCCAGTCCCAGTAGACCCATGCAGATCTAGACCCGCACCCGAGTTAATTTTCTAAGACCCGGGAAATAACCATCGGATCCGGAAATATCTGAATGGGTTCTGGGTCTACCCAGACCCAGATTTTGTACTCGGATTTTAACAAATAAATATGTTTTGAAAAATACTACATAAATTATATATATTATTCACTAATACTATCACTTTCAATTTCAAAATCATATAAATCATTAATTGCCAAAAACGAATTATAAAATCTTTTTCTATAACCATGAGAGGAATAATGTAATTATTGTAGAATAACTAAGGAAATAATTTAATAGAATACAATTGTAATTGAGATAATTAAGGAAATAATTAAACATAAACGTTAGAATAATAACGAGAATTAAACAAAAATTTAATTTGGTCAGCCATTTAATAGCCTAGACAACAATCTCAAGTCTTTTTCTTTAAAAATAAAAGGAAATAATATAGTTATGGTATAAAATTAAGCAATTTATCATAATATAGTTGTAATTGAAAAATGATTGAGGAAATAATTAAGTGCAATATAATAATGATAGATATAATCAAGCAAATATTTTATTTGGTCAATATTTTAAAAGGCATTATTTTCTTTTACCAATGTAAAGTTTTAATATTTGTTTTCATTATTTGGGAAAAATATATGTATTTATAATTTTTATTCCAATAATTTAGACGTAATTAAAAATGTCCAAATTTTCCATAATATTTTGAAAACCAACCATGCAATTTTTGTTCAACTTCTATCTATAAAAAGGGAAGCTTGAAAATTGCTTTAAAAGGTTATTATTAACATTTCTTTACCATATATATGGATTAAAACAATATAAATTGTTATATAAATATACTAAATACGTACTATATTAAGACTATAAAGTTAAAAATCTGAAGTTATAAAGCATATACATATTAATAATAAAAAAAAAATCTTATTTGAAAACTCGGGCCCTCGAGTCCAGGTCTCAGGTCTACATCATGAGCCCAGATCCGGGTCCTTATTTATTAGACCCAGACCCTATTCCTAACATGAACGGGCCAGGTATTACCCTATCTGCATAGTGCAGGTCCTCCCAGGTCCAGGTCTTTTTGCCAAGCCTAGTACTAAGTAGCATCAAGATAACTGTTAATTTAGCATATAATGTGGCCAATGCAATGTTAACTATTTTAAGCGATTTTGCAGCCACAAAGTTAGACAAGACAGATAAAAACACAAGGTGATGAGGCATTAGTCAGGATGCATAGGGAAGTCGAACTAGAAGCATGGTTAGGCATGGTACCACTGCGCTCCTCTCTAAGTAAAAGTATGTCTCTCCTTCAGCTAGAATATAGGGAAATTGAAAGAAGCATGGTAAAAGACCAAACTGTTAGTATCATCCAGGACAGCTGTCATCAAGAATAAATGGTAGTTTGAACTTGGCAAACAATCCCCTCTGACAGAAGAGGAAAGTGGGGGCACTCAGAATAACCATTCTGGTTATCAACAATAGAGTCAGCCCCCAACTTACTTCCTATTATAAACATAAAAGATGAAGTGTATGTCTCATTCTGCTAAAGTTTCTGTGGAATCAATACTAACCCACTCTCCAATCAAACAACTATAAGACATAACAAGACACTTAATGAGCTTTAAGGTAAAACCAGTGGAACAAGAAAGTTCAAATATCTTTTCACAAAGTTCGTCTCACCTCAGAGCGATATTCCTTTTCCACAACACCTACAGTTGCACCAGGATGGCGAGCTCCAACAAGCATAAACGCCGAAATCCATATCAACTTCTCTAACATTTGCTTTTGGAATGCTTCCTTGTCAAGAACCTGATTTGCATGGCATAGTTACATAAAATATGATTACAAGTAAATGGGCTCTTTAGCATCCAAAACCAAAGTCCATTTCTAAAGATATCAAAGTTTAAAGTTTAAACTAAAATTTAAGCTCTTAATCTTGATCAGATATCACTCCATTTATCCAATGACAGCAAATTTCATCTTCTACCTTGCAAGAAAGGCCTCCAGCATTTAATCTTGCAGCAACTGTAGCTGCCCATTTACCATACGCCGCTGTTAATCCTTCAGGATTGGTATCAGTCTTCCCATCAATAGGAGGTTCTCCGAGTTTTGATATAGCAAAATAAGCCAGTACTTGGTCAGCATCAACCAGACCTTTACTTTCAAGCCACGGTTCCAGCATCCCATTCTGGAAAAAAACCAAATCTGCTAGATTGTCAACATCCCAACAACTAGAGTTTCAGATATCTAACAAAGGAAATTCAAAAAATTCATATCACAATCACTCAAAAGACCATCGAACAAAATTTATCCTGATAATAATAAACATAAAGGAAAACACACACCATCACAGTATATGACGCAAAATTTATTCATAACACATAAAAGTAGCAATCATACAACCAAAATATTAAGTTCAAATTAAACTCAAATATCAAGCAATCCAATACAAACAATTTAAACTTCAAAAATAAATATATTGGCACATTTACACAGTGAAACTTAGAATGAAAGGAAATTCTCGCCCTGCAATTCACCAAAATTAGCACATTTATTGAAAATGGCTATATAAAAAGGGCTAAGTTTCAACAATTCCATTGAATTACATCACATTAGTATATTACTAGTTTTAGGCTTTATATTACAATTCACATAGCTAAAAGTCTTACATTTCTATGTAAAAACATTTCCAAATTAAATGTTTCAAAATTAACATTCAACTCAAGCTTGTCTTGTTAAAAATCTAACACAAAATTTCCCTATCAATCATAGCACTAAAAATAATAAACAACAAATCAAGCTCAAAAATTTATAACAATTCATCAAACAAAAGATTGGAAATAATCAGGCGGTGTACCGTTCCATCTAGACTTCGGTGTGACCTCAAGCACAGCTTCAAGATCATCGTTCCTCGTACAAACCAAAATAGGACCCTCAAAATCAAGCGGCACAGGTTCCCCTCGCTTCACAATCAAGTCTTGACCGTTACCCATGTCCTGTAAAGCCCGTCCTACACGTCCGCCGCCGACGATAACGGCAGGGGCCACCTTGGTAGCTGTGGTATTGGCCATGGCAAATATGGGGGTGTACTTAGCAAATTTAGCGGGTGTGGAAAGGAGAGTTTTTGGAGAAGTGGGAAGTGTGAGGTGTGGCCAAAGAGTGGAAGTAGAAGTAGAGAGTTTGGTCAGTGAGTTGATGGCCATTTTATTGAAGTGAATTTGTGTTGGGTTTGAAGGCGTGGAGATTTTGTTTGGGACATTTTAGTTTTTGTGAGATTGTAAAGAAAATAGGAAAAAAAGTGCAAAAAACTTAAACGGTCCTAAAACAAGCCGAACAGTGGATTTTGGGCTCGAAAACACCCCAAATAGAGAACCGAGGTGCCATGTTGTTAGGCCGAAACAAGCTTTCAAATGATATATATAGGCCCTATAACTCCCCTAAATAAAAAATTCTAGCCATTTTAAGTTGGTCTGTCTGTGGTTGAGTTTCTGACGCTAACCCTCTTAAAAATTCATCTATTAAACGTTCACCTATAATGAGTAATAGTCTTCTACATTTTCCAAGAAGTTTAGTTGATTAAACTTTTCTTAGCATGCCTATATTGATTGCTTCTACTTTGAATTTAAGCTCAATTGTAACCCATGTTCGTCTTCTAACATGCTCTTGATGTATTAAAATTTTGTGCCAGAGATATGCTTTGAAGTTAGTTACACATTATATATTCCCATTTTCAAAATGTTGGTATTTTTATATGATTTACAGGACTTCCTTTAAGCTTATAGATATATATGATTATTTGGTTTCTGTTTTTAGTGAGAGAATGCATATTGTGTTTGTGCAAAGAAGAAAGGCTGTCCGCTTGTGGAAGCTGTCAGGGTTTGAGTGGTGCTTGAGTTCGAGGTTATTTTTGCTTTGTGATTAAGCATCTAAATTGGTGTTTAAGCTGTCTGGGCAAAATACCCTTCTATTCATGAAAACAGAAAAGGGAGTTCATCGTATTTCATTCCGGTTAGCATGATTCCGAAGGATATTTGAATTTAGCAAAAGTCTAGTGGCATAATCTACAAGGAAACTCTTCTGTTACATTACCACTTTCACTTAAATATTAAAGAGTCCCTTCAGCAGTACATCCCCAGTGGTTCTTCACCGGAGTTCAAGTAGTGCAAGGATCAGCAAAACCAATTGTATTTCGGGAGAAGTTTAATAAAATGGAATCGTTGCTATTTGGTTAACAGCAAGTTTAATTTTGCAACTATTTTGCATGCAAAAGGTTGAAGGAAAGCAAATCAAGATCTGAACCACCAATATTACTCTTTTATCTTACAAGCATAATTCCAAACTATTGATACACTCAAAGTTGAGTGCAATTAATTTTTGCTACACAACTTTTAATTCTTTAAGCCAAGCCGTATGCAGGGGACACGGATCAGGTTTTCCTGCAGCAAGTGCCTTCTCGGTGAGAGAATAGAACCAGCCATTCCTCCATTTGAACTGTAAGAATTGAACAGACTTAACTGTGAATCGAGGTCACAAAAATTAGGGGTACTTAAATTCATGTTCTCATGGCATTCTTTACCTCTTTAACTGCAGTTGGGAAGTGTGGAACAGCTCGTGAATATGACACAATCTATCCTCATAGTTCTTCAAATGTTAGTCCTTTCTCGGCAGCAGCTGCAGATGCTAGTTCACAATGAGGCTACAAACCTGAAAGCACAAACTTTGATCAGTTGATCTAATCTCAAAGGTTATAATAAACTATTCCAAGAACTTATGAACATGTCATAGTTGCAATCACATTATATGTTTGTAAATATAACGAACTGTAATATAAATTACATAGTATAAATACGTCTTGTCACCAAGTTGTACTATAATTTCGCACAGACTGAAAATACTCAATCTAAATCCTTCAATTACAAAATCAGAGAAAAAAACTTATCTTCTCCTTTTTTTTATTCTCTTATTTTTATTGTAAATGTCAATATATATATACATGTACATTACCTTGCAGTTACGAAAATAAGTGCAGTGAGTGTGTGATCAACTATTGGCAGTTACCACTACATATATGTTAATGGATGAATCCCATCATGAGTGTCCCACCCGTATCCAATATCTCTCACTCACACATTATGAGACTTCTCTTTCTGTGTTTCTACAAAATTTATCTTTGTAAATAGTGATCATGCATACCTCGAGAGCACTTTGGCTATATATCTTTAAGAATAAATGCCTCTCAATAACGCAACTTGGGTGTATATCGTATGCGGCACCCTAGATCACTTATCACATTTCTCTCTAACGATCTCATTTATATAGTTAACTTTATTGTATTCATAACTATGTTTTGTTTACATAAAAGAAAAATATAATTAGTCAACCATAAATACACAAAGTAGTAATGTGATAATACAAAAATTGTGATCTTCCTCCTTTGATTCTCGCAACTTTCATTTAATTTGTTGTTCCAAAATGTCCAATAGATTAAATCATTCTTAATCATTTGGTAACATTCTAAGATAGCATATAAATCAAGGCTTTGAGAAACAGACTAGAGTAACAAGGGTACTCTTTGAGATTTGATTCTTATAATCCAAGATCTCACACAATGTAAAGTTGAGATCTTTATTTTCATTACCCTCATTGTCAAACTTTTGCACATGTGGTATGACAATAGTTTACGGCATTTTTCCTTTTTCCATGGATGTGCATGTCTTTTACTTTATCAACGCCGTACAAGATTTTAGTCAGAAACATCTAGTGTCTAACTTGAGTTCACCTTCATACTTTTCAATTCACCAGAACTCTATCTGGCAATAAGACAGATAAAATAATAAATTTGATAATTTATGTGCTTTAGTATGCATGGTCACCGGCACATTTACAAAGTATGAATCTTGTAAAACGCATAAAGGATGGTCTCATCATGTGTGAGTGGAAGATATGGATATGAGTGAAACACCAATGATGGGACCACCACATTATACAATATATGTAGTGGTAACCGTTGGCATTTGCAAATGAAAAATAGAGAGGATAAAAGAAAAATGAGAAGATTGTTTTTCTTCTGGTTTTGCAATTTAGGATTTAGATTGGTATTTTCAGTTTATACGAAATTATAGTACAACTTGGATCTACAAGAGGTATTTATGCTGGTAATTTATTTATAGTTGTTATACTGTATTTACATACATATAATGTGACAAATTATGACATGTTCATAGTTCTTAGGAATTAGTTTATTATAATCTCGTGATTATATGTTGTTTTCTAACATTCCTATTAGCTAAATATCCCAATTGAACTCCAAACAGTAGAAAATCATTCTTCTAATGCCACCTAATGCAAACACACAAAGCTAATTGATAATGGATATTCAAAATCTGTGCTACCCAAGACTTAACCATTAATATTCTTATAGGTATGTCTATCCAGTAAGCAAACTTAATTTCATTAGCCCATGTCTAATGTTGATCAGTTAATACTCGTGATAACCACGAATTGTCTCCATGCTTTCTGAAAAATTAAATAAAACAGAAAGATCAAGATTTTAAGCAGTCCTAATATTATATCTTTTGCCATCCTTTCACATCATATTCCAATGTTACCATTAAACTAACAAATCATGTTCAACAACAGCAATAGGAAACAGTAAAAAATAAAAAGGCAGTCTTGCATTCAATTTCTGTAACACTTGGTGATATGGTAATGAAGTGAAATTGGACAGAAGGTACTAAGTAGGCTTGGCAAAAACACGTCCCAGTAGACCCATGCAGATCTAGACCTGCACCGTGTTAATTTTCTAAGACCGGGAAAAACTATCGGATCCGGAAATACCTGAATGGGTTATGGGTCTACCCAGACCCAGATTTTGTAGGATTTTAACAAATAAATATGTTTTGAAAAATACTACATAAATTATATAATTATTCACTAATACTATCACTTTCAATTTCAAAATCATATACATTAATTGCCAAAAACGAAATATAAATCTTTTCTATAACCATGAGAGGAAATAATGTAATTATTGTTGAATAACTAAGGAAATAATTTAATAGAATACAATTGTAATTGAGATAATTAAGGAAATAATTAAACATAAACGTTAGAATAATAACGAGAATTAAACAAAATTTAATTTGGTCAGCCATTTATAGCCTAGACAACATCTCAAGTCTTTTTCTTTAAAAATAAAAGGAAATAATATAGTTTAGGTATAAAATTAAGCAATTTATCATATTAGTTGTAATTGAAAATGATTGAGGAAATAATTAAGTGCAATATATAATGATAGATATAATCAAGCAAATATTTTATTTGGTCAATATTTAAAAGGCATTATTTTCTTTACCAATGTAAAGTTTTAATATTTGGGAAAAAATATAGTATTTATAATTTTTATTCCAATAATTTAGACGTAATTAAAAAGTCCAAATTTCCATAATATTTGAAAACCAACCATGCAATTTTTGTTCAACTTCTATCTATAAAAAGGGAAGCTTGAAATTGCTTTAAAAGGTTATTATTAACATTTCTTTACCATATATATGGATTAAAACAAGACTTATATAACATATATTCTGTTATATTACACAAATCTAAAACGTCATCGTTTCTTTATTATCCTTTTTCTTTGTTTTACAAACACAACCCTTCTACATTTCCAACATTACAAACTCAACCCTGTGTACATCATATCAGTATATTGAACTTCAATAAGCTGTCTTCTATACTAATAATTTATATGCATTATGATGCTTATAAGCTTACTGATATAAGGCTTTTTGCATCTTTTGTTTGTAATAAGAGTCCTCATGTTGCTAAGAGAGGGGCACTGTTCTTGTGTGGGAAAGCTCTATGGAGCTTTATTGGAGTATTGATAATGGAGTCATTAGATTTGTTCTTGTAGTTGAAAGTTTGTTTGAAGAACTCTGAGCCAGCCTCGTAATTCTTATTTCTTTGTATATTGGATAAAAAAAATAGATTTCATCATACTTTAGAAGTAATTATAAATTTATACTGTTCGAATTACAACTAAATTGTTATATATATATTCTTCTTGCTGTTTGATTGAATCATTGGTTTAATTTATGTTTCTTCTTTAGAATTTTTTTTTTTTTTTTTTTTTCGTTATAAAAGGTGTCTGGGCCAACTTACGCGCACTTTGACTAGTCCTCTGACCCCGAACAAGACTTTTGAAACAGGGCAAGCCCTGCAGTCTGTGGCCAATAATATTAGCAACCGTTCTTGTGATTCGAACCTGAGGCCA